TCCAAGGAGAGCACAACCGCCTCCAGTACCGAGTACACTCCCATTCAAGCCAGTCCATGAAAACCTCAACAAGCTCCAGCAATGGTTACTGGATAGGTATGCCTCCAGTGCAATAAACATATGTGAGCACCAGAATGGAGAGCCACTGGAGATCTTCCTCAAGCCGGACACAAGGTCAATAGCAGTAGACACACCGATACCAGTTCCGCTGCACTGGCAGGATGAGGTCAAATGAGGCCTGGATAAGGACGTAAGGATCCAAGTCCTGGAGGAAGTACCGCCAGGGACCCCAACCAAATGGTGCCACTGGATGGTAATCATGGCAAAAAAGGATGGGTCACTGCGAAGAATGGTCGATTAGCAAGCTCTCAACTAGGAGTCATCAGAGATAATGATGATACGGAGGGTAGGCTGAACAATGATAAATTTTGTTGGGCGTTGTTGCAATAAAGGAATACCCCTGACTTGAATATTGGGCTATCACCAGCCCAGATCATCTTAAGTAAGCAGATAAAAGACTTCATTCCTGTAACATGCGATAAGTTCAATCCTCGGAAAGTATGAAGAACAGTTGCAACTGAGCAGGAGTGAGCTTTGCGAAGGCGCCAGCCAGGTCACAGGGGTTGAAAGATGGTTGGAACATAACAAGAGCCTACCGCCCCTGGCTATCTGTGTCACTGTCCAGGTGCAGAATCAGGAGGGCAATTGCCCCAATAGGTGGGACAGAACCAGTCAAGTAGTTGAGGTGCTGGAGTATGACCAATACAGAATCAAAATGCATGGTTCAGGCAGAACCACGTTAAGGAACAGGAAGTTCCTCAGGAAGATTGAGCCGTGTATTGTGGACCAGCGCATCTCTGATCTCCTCCCAGGCACCCTTGCCTTTGGAAACACAGGTGCCACCTGGGTCTCAGCCAGCCCTGGTACAGCCACCACCACCTACCATACCTGTGACAACACCTCTGCAACAGATGGACCCTCAAGCCGGTGATTACAAGTCGCCGCCTCTGATGCCTGTTCAGCCACCACCTGATTTGGAAAGCCCACAATCACGCTCACAGACAAGTAAGCCTCAGCGGACAATGGCCGTGCAGTGAGAGCAATAGGGACACGAGAGGCCATCAGAACCAGGTGTCCGTAGGAGGTCTATTATGATTAGGAAGCTGCTGAAGAAGCTTAGCTATTGCATGTGTGGGAAGACCTACTGGTTCACGGAAGCTTCCCGCATCTCTTAGAGCCAGTGGTTCTCAACCTTTTTTACTCCATTTCCCCCTTGAGGAATTTTCAACATCCTCGTGGCCTCCTTCATTTTTCTCCCAGAACAGACAAGCAGACAAGTGATAAACACTAAAGAATGATAAAGACGGACAGATAAATAGGACAAGAGTTAAAATGGCAAACACACGCACACATTCACATACATAACACGCCCATGCACTCACACATAAAGCACACATACAGTCATACACAAACATGCACACAAGTAAACATTCACACTCAAGCTAGCAAGCTGAAGTGTACTTCCTCTAAGCAAGAACACGCCTTCTTTGACAAGCACTGCCCAACTTGGAAGAATGAGAAGAATAGTGAGTCATACCAATTTAGCACTAAAAATGGTAGGATTATATAAGTAAAGAATGAGTATGAACAGCAATGGCACCAATAAATAAGGAAATAATAAATAAAGGAAGTGTACAAATATTTCACCCACGTAAAGCAGCGACCACATGAAATATGAAACAAAATAAGTAACACCAATTACGGAGAATATTATGCTTGAGTCAAGCTCAAACACAATATATAGTTCAGAGGCCACCTTGAAACATTCAACTTAATTCATTCTTCTCAGCACGGGTTCACCCAGGGACGTTCTTGTCTCACAAATTTGCTTAGCTTTTTCTCAGAAGTATTTGAAGCGGTAGATAATGATAAGTCATATGATATAATTTATTTAGATTTCAGTAAAGCATTCGATAGAGTCCCTCATGAGAGATTGATAAGGAAGGTAGAAGCACATGGAATAGGTGGATCAGTATTAAAATGGATTAGGTCATGGTTAACTGGTAGGAAACAAAGAGTCAGCATAAATGGATTAAAGTCAGACTGGGGTGCGGTCAAAAGCGGAGTTCCCCAGGGATCTGTATTAGGCCCTCTGCTGTTTGTTATATTCATTAATGATCTTGATTTAGGCATAACTAGTAGGATTAGTAAATTTGCAGATGATACCAAAATGGGGAGAGTGATAAATTCAGACAGTGACTTTGAACACCTTCAAAGAGATCTAGATATCTTACATGAGTGGTCAGTAGACTGGCAAATGAATTTTAATACTGATAAATGCAAGGTACTACAGATAGGGAAGACGAATACAAACGTTAAGTATAAACTAGGTAACACGGAAATAGAAAACTCAGTTTGTGAAAAAGATCTAGGTGTATTTGTTAGCAACGACTTGAAACCTAGAAAACAATGTATTAGCGTTCGCAACAAGGCAAAACAATTCTTGGGTTCATATCTAGGTCTGTGAGTAACAGAACTGCTGACGTTATCTTGAAACTTTACCTAGCATTAGTGAGGCCACACATGGATTATGCGGTTCAGTTCTGGTGTCCTTATTATAGAATGGACATAGATTCTTTGGAGAGTACAAAGAAGAATGACAAAATGATCCATAATATTAGAAACCTTCCATATGAAGAAAGACTGAAAAGCTTAGGCTTACATTCATTAGAGAGGCGTAGAGTTAGGGGAGATATGATAGAGGTGTACAAGTGGGTAAGTGGGATTAACAAGGGTAAAATGGAAGATGTTCTGAAGCTCAGTAATAACGAAATAACTAGAACAAATGGCTTTAAATTAGATAAATTCCGATTCAGAAAGGATATAGGCAAGCACTGGTTTGGTAATAGAGTTGTGGATATGTGGAATAGGCTACCGAGTGCTATAGTAGGATCGGGGACGCTAGGGAGCTTCAAGACGAAGTTGGATAGGCACATGGAAGTGCTGGGATGGGTGTGAAAGGGATCTGCCCTGTATGGGCCAGTCGGCCTCCTGCAGTATCCCACTTTCTTATGTTCTTATGAGACAATACACTCCACTATTTTCGTGATGGTATCCCAGGCCAGACTGAGATCATTCGGTCCTATTGTGGGGTACGAGAAGTTTGGTTTAAACTCAGGATGGGATGGAGAAAGGAAACTCACAATGTGCTCTCTGTATACATGTTGTATTGGATGTACAATGCAGCTTGGTGCTGGGAAGGCAGCATGGTTACAAGTGTGATGTAGAGAGAGCTGGTTGGTGAGGGTGCTCAGAGGAGGACAGCTTGTGGGTCGCCATGGTCGCCGGCGGGAGCGAGGGCCGCCAGGCAGGAGTGGAGGAGATGTTACTTGAGGACTGGCTGTAGGTAGAAAAAGCTAGGTCACCACGAGGTCAGGTCTTATATAGCGGAGGTAGGCGTGGCTTAATAGTTGACCTCCGTGATGTATGGCGGCGCTGGTTGACCTAGGCCACGAGGCATACACTGGGGAATTCGCGGGGTCGGCTACTCAGCGACAAACAGCGTTTGTAGGGGAGAAATCCACTACAATATACCCCCCCCCCCTGTATTTAAACAATAAGATTCATTATAATCTCATGAAATTGCTCATTTGTGTGTTATCATTGTAATTTCTTACTTTTCTTTTTACATTACCGTATACTGTAGCATTACAAAATGCGTATGTCTGGAAATTAACCTAAATATAAATTTAACAAAATATTCTTTTTTTTGAAAACCACTAACTCTTATCACAATTAGGCTGAAATCATAAGTATGCTACTTAAAATTAAGTTCAAAGTGGCAATGAGATGCAGCGAAGTTAGCGAACGTCGTCTTGTCAGTACTGAGTACTCAATACAGTAGTCAGTAGCTGTAGTAGATACAAGCACCTGGCATTGTATTGTTGTAGTATTTGGTAACCCAGGAACTGGATGGCAGCCTGATTGACACCCAGAGTTGCCAACTTAGCGACTTTGTAGCTAGATCTAGAGCTTTTTGTTTTTTTCTAGCGACATTTTAGAGCGATTTGCGACTTGTCGCAAATCTAGAGATATCCACAGAAATCTAGCGACTTTCTGGATACTTTTGGACTGTCCATGAAAACTCAGTTTTCCTAATTTCGAGCCACAATATATAGCAACGGGGTTACAGGGACAATACATTTGAACGGGTTGAACTCATAAAACAACTTGGTCAACGCTTACCTGACAACTTTCGTGTGCTGCAGTCTATTTCTTTTCTGAGTGCCGATGAATGCTTGAAGCCTTTTAAATCAGATATACTTGGTTTGGCACACTCATTTACAGAAGATTCCAGCACCCTTACCAAGATTGATTTCCAGTGGAAAAAACTGCATCACACAATCTGGACAGAAACATCTAACACCCTAAAATTGTGGTCAGAAGTGGCAAATTACAGAGATGCGACCGGTGAAAACCCTTACCATGATCTGGCTGAAATTGCACTCGCTGCCTTATCTCTTCCGCATTCAAACGCAGATGTAGAGCGGACATTTAGTAATATGAACTTTGTGAAATCAAAATTGCGCAACAAAATGAAACTATCGACATTAAAGGCAATTCTTACAATAAAGTATGGGTTAAAAAGACAGAACACCTGTTGTGCAAGTTATGAACTTCCTAGTGATATTTTAAGAAAGATAGGGACTGTGGAGGCATACAGTTACAAGATATCTGCACGAGAACCTGAACCAAACACTTCACATGCTTCCAGCTCTACAGTTGTTCACACTACGAAGAGGACTGGGATGCAATTACTGTTGAATAATAGGTAAGTGTGCACATTAAACTTTAAAAAAAATAATATTTTTATTTTTACATAATGCATTTTATTTATACTGAAGGGGGGGAATAATAGCGAGCGACTTTCCGTGGAAGATTTAGCGACATTTAGCTACTTTTAGGTACCAGCCTAGCGACATTTGAAAATCCGAGTTGGCAACACTATTGACACCCTGCTGCCTGCTACACTCAAAACAAAACATTGCAGGGAGAGATGTCGGGCCTAACCATGGCATATAACAAGAAACTAGAAGCTCTGTGTATTATGTAAAAAGTTATTATGAAAATGTGAACTGCATTAAACAAAAGTAGAGGGTATTTTATTAATAGTAAACTGGGAGGCGGCGAACTTATCAGGTGAAGTTGGTTGCTGGGTATTATCTTTGGATTTGATCCTGAATTGAAGTACACGTTAAAGTGCTGTATGGTGACATAACTCAGTGTCTGGGACGATGTGCCACTTTCATTTCCTTTTGGTGATTATTTGTGGACCATGGCTGATGGTCCAGGGTCGGGATGACAATACCTTCACAGAGGAGCTGCTGATCAGGCCATTGTCCACTGGCCATGTGTACTCTCACTTTGAATTCACTACCACCTGGGCAACGCCGGGAATCAGTGACTCCATTAATAATTATCGTGACTTTGGTAAGTGATGGATAAAAGTTTATACAGTACATGACATTGTTTTCTTTAGTTTAACAAATTAATTGACAAAGCTTGGAGTACAGTTTGCCTATTCTGTGTAATTCAGTCAGGTCTTGACACTGAGGGTGTCAGATTCATGTGGGTGATGTCACTGTTCACTGCCATGCAGGACAAAGGTTCGTACACAAAGAAATACATCATACAATAAGCCAGGTGGCCTGAAGTCTTTGACATTAGTTCTCAAACTGTAAAGCAGTAAAATTGAGCTTTCCTTGGGTAGATTAGGAAGTTAAGTTAGGTTGGTTCATTTTATCATTAATAAATCGGCATTATTGCAGTAGTGGACCGAACTAAATTTTTAATTAAAAACACGTTTTCACATAGTTCAGACTATTCTTAGACACTTCTTCTGGGCAGTGGATATTTTACCGTGACTGGCTAAGTTCCAACTAATGCTATTTTACCGTAAGTGCGCTTTGACTGGCTAATCATCCCTTACTGATTAACGACACGACAACTTTATTTAACCGTGACACTGATGGCATTTATTTTTTCGTGAGTCGATCGTCATGTAGCTGTAAACATACCTAACCATATTTCTGTTGTGCCTGGAAACTTATTATAAAAGCGGCGGCATTTACTAGAACCTAATAGAACCTGATCTAACCAACCAAAGAAACTTGCCTAACCTTACCTAACTTAGCCAATCAAAGCACACTCATGGTAAAATAGCATTGGTAGGAACTTAGCTGGACACGGCAAAATATCCACTATGGTTCTTCTTTGGCATTTCCTTCGAAAATGAACAGTTACCGAAATATTGTGCTATTTAGGTTGGAATGGGGCCCACTTATGCAAGTTTACTATTAAATTATATAACGTTAATCGCTGCAAACAGTCACATTCAGGCATGGAAAAGGTAATATTTCACTTGTTGCCACTAAATGAATCTCAGGAAATTTATCATTGCAATCAGTAGTTTTGACAATTCCAAGACACTTCTCTTTGATGGCATTTCTGGCGCAAATTATGTGGCAGTACACACCCAGAACATCAAATGACAATGGAGCTTCCTGGTTTGGTTAGGTTAGATTTGGTTGGCTTAGGTTAGATTTAAAACTTTTTTCCGATGGTTTTTAATGTGTTTTGAACACAGAAAATCTCTAGATTCGGAGATGGGAGAATTCATTCATAGCACATCAAAAACCATTGGGAAAACATAGTTTCAACTTCTATTTCGTATAGTGGCAAAGCAAGTAAAAATTTACCCCAAAATGCAGTGTTTTAGTTAAGGTTAGGTTGGTGAGGTCTTCTAACAATGCTTCTCCCACTTGATTTTCTAATCAAGTAAGTTTAGGTTAGGTTCAGTTTAAAAATACAGTGGGGTATGCTATAACGAATCTAATTGGTTCTAGAACCTCATTCGTTATAGCATTAGTTCGTTATAGGATTAATCCGTTCCAGGCCCCCAAATACAACCACTTAACACTGAAAAATTTCTGTGGAAATTGTAAAAAATACGGTACTTTATCTTACCTTAGTGTTGTTAGTATGCAGGACAGGAGGCAGAGGAGGAGGGGGGAGGAGAGAATTATTTAGAAGAGGTGGATGGAGAGGAGTCATCCTTCCTAGCCCTCTTTGGTGACTGTCTTTCAGGCACTTTGTCTGTTTATTTATAATTTCTTTCTCAGTTTCAAGGGTTATTAGCTTTCTCACTCGCTTTTGACGATTCATTGTTACAATTGTACACTTGTATAACAAAATAGTTATAAAAATAACACGAATTTCCACATCAAAAGACGAAATTTCAACAAGTTCAGTGGTGCACTGACTACACAATGAACCAATATGGCGCCTGACGCTCTTTATGTGAGCCGTGGTACAACAATATTCATGCGCCAGATGAAATAGTTCTGTATTCATCCGCGTTCGTTGTAGGAGTTGCGTTCGTTATAGCATTCTCAATTTATAGGTAAAACCGTTCGTTATAGGAATATTCGTAGTAGAATCCGTTCATTATAGCATAACCCACTGTAACCACATTTTAACACATTTGCCAAAACTACGACAGTGTCCACTATAAAACACAGTGAAATTGTGGCGTTTTTAAAATAATTTTTTATGAAAAATTAGTGGCGGGTCATTTGCCAATAATTACCAATAATATTTCCTGTTTTCATGTGTTTGATAATTTTAATCAATGATTCCATAGAATTCATGTTGACGGTGTTAATTATATTTCAGATACAGTACTAGATTTGTCTGGTTATTCTTCCAATACCTGTATACTGTACAGTGAACCCTCACTTTGCGCGGTTAATTCAACCCACGGCGGCCCGCGTAAAGTGAGAAACTCGTATAGTGAACAACATAACATACGGGATTAATTGAAATAGAGACCGGGCCGACCCCCAAACTCCACTTTTTCAGACACAATACCTACGTTGTAGTAAAAATAACTTCTTAATTTTATGATGGTATGCACACACAATTAATAATTAAGAGAAATATCAATAATATTAGGTTTTTTAACACTTACATTAGTAGAAAAGATGGCTGGGCACACGGGGATGGGGGGTTGGTTCCTAGGCAGAGGGCAGATTATTGGCCCTCACCTGTATCACTTGTATCAATTGTATCACTATCCACCACAGAGGCTTGCAGGGCCTCTCTGTCAAACCCCTCAAAGTCCATATTCTCACTATCATTATCACTGACTTGGGCCGGCTGTGGTGGGTGGCGGGTGAAGAACTCGGTAATGTTTTGATGACTGGGCGACCTTGTGCGCACCCTGCTCGCGCCGCTCTCCGCGTAAAAGGGTACACACACCGCGGAAAGTGAGCATTCCGGTTTCGGCAGGGTACCGCGTAAACGTGGAAACGCGTAAAGTGGGACCGCGTAAAGCGAGGGTTGACTGTACTGACCTTTTCCTCATCAATTTATGGCCATTTTCCTTTTTTTTTCTCAGAATTTTCACACTATGATCTCTTTCCTCGGGCATTTGGGGAAATTGTTGAACGCTATCATGTTAGAGAACTGCATCTTAGTTTAACTCAAGGATTGTGGCGGCACCGAAAGTGGGGCTACCCCATTGTTGATGCTCCACCTGGAGCACAACTTTGGGTTTGGTTTAATCCTACAACTAACAAGTAAGTTCTTGCAAATGTTTTTTAATACTCTGCTGTACTTTGATCATGTAAGATTGAAAATAACTCTTGAAATAAAAAAAGGACCACCTGAAGAATAGTCAACCCAGAGTGTCCACCTTAAGAATTGGCACCCTAACCCACTCCACCTGAAGAATCATCACTCGCCCACAATCAATATAATAAATGTAGTTAGGGTAAAAAAAAATGTAATACAGTATATAAAATCTTGTAATTCAAACATTTTTATTAATAGGTTAGGTTAACCTAACCGAACCACCATGGAGGGTCTTGACCCCATCTGAAGAATCCTCACTCCTGGAATGTCAACCTGAAGAATAGGTGCCCAGTCAAATTCTGGGGTGATGATCCCTCAGGTGATCCCAAAAATTAATTAAATTTCATGCACAGTAGCTGAAGAATTTGACATTATCGAATAAAAAAGGGTATATGGCTACAGTATATGGATCGTTATTTTCATGTACAGTATTTTGTCTTTTCAGCTTAGATCAGACATGGCGAGACTTGGTGAATGCACTCAGTGGTCTTGTCTGTGCATCACTGAACTTCATTGACTCAACAAATACTGTCTCACCGGGACTTAGTTATCGGCCACAGGGACTTGCTGAAGAATGGTGAGTTGAGATGTAGCTAATCCCTTAAACCTGGGCAATGTTGAACCCCTTCACTATGGGGATGCTACACTTAATATATTATTTGGGTAACCCCAGATGATTTTATTTCGCACAAAGGGGAGCCCGTACACAAAGGATTAATACACTGTCCACTAACTCCTTTACTTCGGGGATGCCACTTTTAAGTACTGTATACAGTATTTTATTTGGCTAATGCCAGACAACTTTATTCAGTGCAGAGGGGAGCCAGTTCACAAAGGGTTAGTTGGGAAAGTCTAGATTTATGTATCTCACAACTTTCCTCCACATTCAGAGTTCATGTTTTAATGTAGTGTGACCACTTGTCTTTCATGAACTACCATTGCACCGACCCCCCCACCCCCCCCAACCCCATGTTGTGGCTGACAGTTTGGTGGGGAAGTGAGAGGGTTTGATATATCTTTATGATTAATACATTACTGTTGTCTTCCAGATCACTTGACTGTCTCTTTTGTCATATCACGAGATTTCATACAACAGTCTTATTATTTTTGGCTTAATTATAGAATCCTTGACCCTTTGGGTTTTGTTAGAATCTCTACCACTTGAGGTCCCCTAAATATTACTGTACACTTTTTGGTTAAAGGAGATCAAATAAAAAAAATCCAAAGAATATGATTATTTTATAGAATTTTAACCAAAACATGGAAGTTTAAAGCAAAATCACCACAGTTGGTTTGATTAGGAATGCTATTTATTCTTACAGGTATTCTGGTAATTCATCCTACATGCGATATGCTGCTCTGCCCCGTGAAAATGTGTGCACAGAGAACCTCACCCCTTGGAAGAAACTGCTGCCTTGTGATACACGGGTAAAAATAGCACTTTAGATCATTCATGTATCTAATAGCTAACAGAAGCAGTCAAGACATCAATAATTTTTATAAGTTCCTCACCAATAATTTTCTTTGGATAGACTGTAAGTACAAGTAAACTACTGTATAGTCAGGTCCCACTTAACAAGTGATATGCATTCTTGAAAAAATGCTTATTAGGGGAATTCTCATTAAATGGAACCCATTTTCTCATGGAATCCCAAATGAAAAGCTAATATGTGTTCTAGCCCAAAGATTTTTTCCCCAAATCCAATGGTATAAACTTAGATGCACTCCAACCCAAAGACTTTCAACCCCAAACTCTAACCTAACAAGATTTTACATTGTTTTAGCACATTGTACTTAGCAAAACTGAAAGTGAATGCTGCATGTGTTGGCCTTGTATTGTTGGTTGAAGATGTCGATGGTTAGTGGTGGGAAAGGTCAGAGGGTTCTTCAGTCCTTTTGTCTGAGGAATCAACTAGAGGTGGTGAATTACTTTTGAAAGTTGTGACTCCACTTTTACATGGCTTTGGAGATCCCGAAGATGATGCAGATATCACACATCTTTTCATGAGTCCAATCACCATAGTACATCCAATTTCATCTCCAAGGTGATGGTCTCCCTCTTCATCTTTGGAGTGGTACTGCTCATAGTGCTACTTGTCTTTTTTTTAGACTCAGTGTTGTTGGGATTGATTGTAAAAATAATGAGAAACAAACAAAGTCAATGTATGTACCAATAGGCAGAGAACATTATGATAAACATTCTGCCAAGTTATCTAGGCTCACTGGCTAGCCAGGCTGGATTAGCCTGCCACTAGCTTCACCTAAGAGTGCAGTACTATATAGAATATGAGTCTATGATTGCATTTGCCTCACTAGCTGCTCAGCCAATATCAAATCATGACTAGCTCAATGCCAGGAATGGGATTGGGAACCGGTTCACTTTGCATTTTGTTCTTTGAATCAAATAAACTGAATTCTCGTTCTTTGGTTATTCATTCAGTGGGATCTTACTGTATTTCTTTATGATGACTCGCATGTCTGCAATTTAATTTAAATTTCTTCTATACCAATATTTTAGGCAAATATACGGACTGATAAGATTTTGTTATTTACAGAGTGGTCTTTCAATGCTGCTCTACCCTGTCCCTCTGTACACTGCTCACTACCATGCTCTATCTCTTCACCTCAGACCATCTTGTCAGGTAGGTACTGCAGTGTTAGATGGTGCTGTTTTTCATCTATTTACTAGTAGCAGTGCTTACATCCTCACCATGACAATACAGTAATATATATTTTATTTTATTTGAAAATTTTTCTTTATACAAAAATGTTTTAACATCTTTGTACTGTAGCAGTATCATAACCAATGAGGCTTGGGACTAACAAAATAAATCTTGTGTTTGTGGTAATTTCAAAGAGCTTCTTGGAAAAGAGTTCCACTTAATGGATTGTCAGGTAACCATTGTAACTATACCCTTAATACTGTCATTGGCTTTGTGCCTCCTGACCACCCTACTACAGCACAGTCCCCAGCCATCACCAACACCCCTTGCTCCTGACCAAATATCTCTCCTCCTCCAGACAGGCCTGACACTTGACTTATAAGGGACTTGCCACGCCATGCCATAAACAGATGTATTGTATCGGGAATTTTCCCTCCACACACTCATCCTGTCACTGCAGGTACTCCCCGACCTACTCGACTTGCGTCCACCTGCACTTACGACCTGCCTCAGTCGTACCAAAATTTGGTCAAATTATGTATTTTTGAGTCCCAAAGTCAGTACACAGACAAAATTTTTATCTGTAATTCACTTTAAAATGGCTGGCAAGCTTAAAAGTGAGTGTTTTGTGGTGCTGAGAAGAAAAAGAGACACCCATTTTAGATTTTCGATGTGTTATTTAAGCATTTCCGATTTACGACCATTTCGACTTACAACCTGGATGTCGGTCCCTAACCCCGTCGTAAGTCGGGGAGTACCTGCATATGGAACTTGCTGATGAAATCCATGGCCCTTCAGGCACTTAGGCCCTTAAATGCATGAGTCAACTGGGCAAGTACTTCCCTTTGGGGCGCTGTAAACACTTTATGAGCTTCGCCTTGCACAGGATCCAAGGGGGTGCCCAATAAACTAGCCCACTTGCATGGCAAATTGTCAAAAAAAAAAAAAAAATATATATATATATATATATATATATATATATATATATATATATATATATATATATATATATATATATATATATATATATATATATATATATATATATATATATATATATATATATATATATATATATATATATATATATATATATATACACACACACACCCCGACTTACGACGGGGTTAGGGACCCAAATCCAGGTCCGACATGGTCGTAAGTCCGACATAGATTAAAGATAAATTTTTTTAATAAAAAATCTACAATGAAATACAGTACAGTAAAAGTAATGAATAATGATGAATGGATACAGTACAGTGAAAGTAATAAATAATAAGGAATGGATACAGTGTGACTGAGCACTTAACCTTTAATGTAGTCAGCTGAATGCACATGGGGCCCCCATAATTTTCTAATTATACATGGAGACTACATTAACTGGAAACGTTTCGGTATAGAAAATGCGTGTGTCATTTAAATTTTTTTTTTTTATCGGCGGTCGTAAGTCCCGACGGTCGTAAGTCCACGTAGTCGTAAGTCGGGGTCTAGGTGTGTGTATATATATATATATATATATATATATATATATATATATATATATATATATATATATATATATATATATATATATATATATATATATATATATAAATATATATATATCATTAGCAGGGTGTAAGCTCACCGATGTAAACATTTCCTGTAACTCTCAGTGTTGTGCACAATAAATTGTTGAGATTTCATTACAAATTGGCCTGTTATGTTGCCTTTTCTCATCTCAAGGGATTAAGAAAGGAAAGGGAACATGAGTTCCTTTACAATTGGTTTGTGGACACAAGCACAAAATTTGGGGATAGTAATTTAGGAGTCCACTTGTAATTCTCAGACTTATCCCGTTTTGTTCCCCAGGATGTAAGTTGTACTAGTTCCCACCTGGAGTTAACACAAGCTTTGTCATTGGTGCAAGGTCCCACTATATCATCGAGTGGTCACCAAGACTGGAGTCTTCAACAGCTGTTTTCATCCCAGCTAATATATACCTGCCCTTTGGCTTCATTTTCAAGGATCTATGTAGATGTTACTGGTAATGTGGTAAGTTGTAGAATATGACTTCTCTGAAATTATCTTTTAAGTTAAAAGCTTTAGATCATTAATTCTTCTGAATCATTCAGAAATGAAAGTCGATATAGAGGTATTTCAATATTACAATGCTGTATATCATGAATTACTTGTGATTTGGGCAGTTCACAGGAAAGCACACAGTGGTAAACCCCACGGATTGGGCTTTTCAACCATAAATGGTTATGGCCATTTCATAGACCCTGTTTTGTAAGGATAACCATTTCAACAGCAACATGCAGCTACAGTGTTTCTAAGTGACAAGGCAGGTTCTGTTGTGAGGGACCAGTGAGCTGCTTAAATCATGAGATATTAACTCCATTTTCAACCATAAAATCTGACTTCAGGAGTAAGTCCTTATATTGTATATATATATATATATCCTCACCAGCCAGGACTCGAACCCTCGACCTTATGCGTGTGACCAGGGATTGCTACCACCGTGCCACAAGGACACCAAAAGCAATCCTAGACTTTGTTATATTCTACCACTTTAAATAATTTTTTATTTTTTTTATTTTCCGATGATAAAGTGGATGAGAAGTTACTATCTGGCAATACCCACAGTAACTAAAGGCGTTTATTGAAAGGCATTTTAACCCTCTCAGCTTCAGAGCCTGGGATACATACGTGCATGAAAACTTACGCTCAGCCTCGGAGGTTTTTGCCGAAAAGTCATGGAAAAAAAATTAGGGCTCATTTCACTGCCATGAAATTGTTTTATTAATTGTAATGGGGTTTCTTCTTGTGTAAAATTGTCTGAAAATTTTTATGAAACCATAAAAAAATTTTAATTCTTGAAATTTAAGCCACTTTTTCCGAGTACAGTGACCCCTTGTTTAACGAACGCCTCGGTTAACGAAATTTCGGTTAACGAACTGCCTTCCATAGGGATCTTCAATTCGGTTAACGAACAAAAATTCGGTTAACGAATTTCTTACGAACCGACCTCAACATGTTTTCGCTTGCACTGACCGGGCAACCAGCTTTAGTATCAGTTCGCCAATACATTAATCGGTTCTAGGGCTTAAATTCCTTACTATTTTAGTAAATATCAAGAAGTTTATACTATTCAATAATTTTAAAAGTTTAATATTCAATTTTTTAGTCATTTTAACGATTATTGAACATAATTGAAGGTAAAGTGACTAGTTTAATGCGCGGCATCCAGCCTCTTAACACAGCAAACAGGCGTTAGTCTCTCTCTGTTTTCACTGGAGGTAACATCTTGCTTGAGACTCTCTTCAACTAAACACTTTTTTTCTGTGTTTCCAAGCAAATTATTGGTCATTTTGAAATATATTTTACATATTGACAATATATAATGCAGTGCAGTGTTCATTTAAAGAAAATAATCTTGAATTACACCAAGAGAGCTAAAATTTTATGGGTGAAATGGCGCCATGGGGTGACTTCTCTTCCACCCCAATGCCTTCTCTTCTTCCTTCTCCTCCACCCCCATTCTAAATCCCATCATCATCATCATCCAGGAGCCTTCTACAAACACACCTCAAAGTAAGTGAACTTTTCTACCATTTTTGTTGAATTTAGGAAATTTTCGGTGAGCTGGAACCAATTACCCAAAAACCCATTGAAACAATGGTTTCGGTTAACGAACGACCTTCTGGAATGGATTGAGTTCGTTAACCGAGGGGTCACTGTACAGTAAACCCCCGCTTTACGCGGTTTCACTTTACGCGGTTTCACTTTACGCGTTTCCACGTTTACGCGGTACCCTGCCGAAACCGGAATGCTCACTTTCCGCGGTGTGTGTACCCTTTTACGCAGAGAGCGGCGCGAGCAGGGTGCGCACAAGGTCGCTCAGTCATCAAAATATTACCGAGTTCTTCACCCGCCACCCACCACAGCTGGCCCAAGTCAGTGATAGTGATAATGATAGTGAGGATATGGACTTATATGGACTTTGAGGGGTTTGACAAAGAGGCCCTGCAAGCTTCTGTGGTGGATAGTGATACAAGTGATACAGGTGAGGGCCAATAATCTGCCCTCTGCCTCGGAACCAACCCCCCTTCCCCGTGTGCCCAGCCATCTTTTCTACTAATGTAAGTGTTAAAAAACTGTATAAGTTGAAGTAGGGAAATGTTTAGTAACATCTCGATTTCCATTCACATTTTCCTTATATTATGGTGTTCAATGATATGTACTATATACCAAAATAAAGAACAAACCATGTAGAATATCGTGGTATAAGGAAAAATAATATAACACAAAAACTTATGGAATAATTAATGGGTCGAGCGGTGCACCCTCCTCTCGCTCTAGTGGCCAGAGCGACACTGCCTTCATGCTGCGCTGCCATGCACATGATGACCAAGACTGTCTTGGGGAAGGTGATAATGCCCACATAAAGAAAACAACGTCTGTCAAATGGCATCCAAAGTTCAGTGAATTTCAATGAATAGTTTTTGAGTTATTTGAAAATATAGCACATTAGACGCCACATTGGCGTCGCGAGGCTGAGCGAAAGTTTTTTGCCTTTAATATTTGATGCCACAATGGCGTCGTGCGAGGCCGAGAGGGTTAAGATGCACGGAATAGCTAACACATTAGTTTTCCCGGACTGTCATTAAAATATTCGACATTGTACCGCGTCTCGGGAATAACTGTTGTACAACAATCTTCGGAAAACGATAAAATTAGGAGAACTGTTATTTGGACACAATACAGAAAGAAATAGTGAAGAAAATATATATAAAATTATGGAAAGAAAGATAAAAAAGGAAAAAAGTTCATCAGTCAACAATAAATAAGAATAACACCAAAAATTGGGCCCATTGTGAAGGTAATTTCTTCTGTACATCTTCTCTCGCGGCAAAGTTCGCATATTTGTGCAATATATACAACGAATTTCAGGTTCATTTAAGTCTTAATTTTTGCACTTACAGAACTGTAATCAACTTGTTCACCCTTATTTAAAGTATCTTATGAGTAATGATATTACTGTTTCAATCATCTTCGAGTAATTATCAATATTATTACACCAAAGTCACCAACAGCTAATGAAATTGGACAGTACCCACTTAAAAAGGGCGGAACCAAAAGAGGTTTCAACTAGGCGTGATCCTTTTCAATTCTTTGACGCCATACGCTTTGTTTTAGGTCCTGTCCAATATCCTGTACTACCATATATAGAATTATTATTTTTTATTATATCACAGTTTTTTGTTGCCTTACATGCCCCCAACTCTTCAATATTAATAAAAATATTTTCCATAAGCGGCCATGAGCCGTGTATTTTCAGTGGGAGAAATCGCTGATTGGTTGTTAGCTATTTGGGCCGCTTAAGGCTCACGCCTGATCGAGGTGTTAGCTTTTCCATTTGAATGTGTCATGCGCACAAGTCAAAAGCAGCTTCTGCGCATACAGAATAGCTAACGCGTTAGCTAATCCGTACATCCGAAACTCCTTACAATAACCGTCTTAAATTATACGCGCGGCAAGCAAGTGTTAATGAATACAGCAGGAAATGAATATACACTACAGTCATGCGCCGGTTAACTTCCGATCGCATATACGTCCGTGGCCGCCCCCCCCAAAAAAATAATAATGTGACGCCTGCTGGACCACCACTCCACGACCCCCTGACGGAGACATGATGATCCTCCCCATACTGGTCAGATATTATGTGTTAAAGGAATATGCTTCCTTACTTAGGCTTTTTTTAAGCATTTGCCTTCAGGTGAAATGTTAACCTACATCTATTGAGGATAAAATCTTTCACCTACAAATTGACAATAACACATTCGCTGTAATCAGACATATCTAGTTGCCTCAACAATTGCAACCCCAGTTGCAATTGGGGTTGCAATTTCAAATTCTGTGGCATTACTAAAAATAGTAAAGTTTCTGGTGCACTCTAAGATTAAGAGAGAAAACGGAGGACTCAGGCGTCCTGATGTGAGAGAAAACGGACTCGTATGACGGGGGACCAAATAAAAAAAGCATAGCTACATGTTTTGTGGACTACAGTATTAAGCGTACCCTTTTCATCACTTTGTAATAAACCTAGCCATGCCTATGTGTGTTTATGATATTTACCATAACATTATATATATATATATATATATATATATATATATATATATATATATATATATATATATATATATATATATATATATATATATATATATATATATATATATATATATATATATATATATATATATATATATATATATATATATATATATATATATATATATATATATATATATATATATATATATATATATATATATATATATATATATATATATTTAGTGGGTATAAATGGTCGTAAAATGGGAAACTTGGGGTTGGGTCTTGGGTGCCTGGAACCAATTAGAATAAATCCCATAGGTTCTGTACTTTCGTTATCGGCGGGGTCCCAATTAGGCGCTATAACCAAGGGATGACTGTACTGTACTGTATATACTTGTGACACTGGCCAGTTGCTTCTGGTGTTATGGTACAGGGGTACCAAGTGACAGCACTAGGATCCCGCTTCCTCTATCAAGGAATAAACAATTAAAATTTAAATTGAAAAAAAAACATTCAAATAAATTACTATCTTACAAGAATCCCTCCAATGTAAGTTATATTCACCCAGGTCGTTTGGGTGGCAAATTATGAGAAGAGCTTAGTCACTCTTAAGTAATGATAAATAAACACGCAGGCAGGCCTTCAGCGCCAACTGTCAAATCTTATCTCAAATAAATAAACAAACAAACGCCAGACATTCTGTCACCTCACCTCCCCCCCACCGTCTTCCCACCCTCCTTGTGTTGTTCCCAGACAAAAGATTGGTGATTTCTTTATGTTTATTTTATATAATATCTCAGACTAAAGTTAGGATAATATAATTTGCATTGCTGAAATCCTTGCAAGACAGAGATTAATTTGAATATAAGCGTCATATATTTTGCTCAAGATATAAAAAATGTAGTACATTAGTGTACAATACTGTAGTACATTTTATAAAAAGTTTTTCAACTGTATTTTTGGGTAGATTTACATAAATTTCTTCATTTATTTTCATCCATTTACATGCACACACCATACTAAAAGAAACATAAAATAAATTAGTGCAAAGCTGGAGTGCACATGTACTAATTTGATTACAGTACTAAAATTGTTATGTCTAGTGCGAATTACAACATGTTTAAATTCAAATAAATCAGTATCTTACAAGAATCCCAGCTATGTTAATTATATTTTCCTAGGTCATATCACTGGCATTTTAAAATGAGAGAAGCTTAGTAGGACTGTTAAATAAACACACAGAGACCTCAACCCCCCACCCCCCCCCACCAACCCCTCGCTGGGTGGCGGAGCCGTCAGTCCCCCCTCCCCCAGCCAGGCTTTTAGGCTTACAGTTTTTATCTTATATAATATCTCAGACTAAAGTTAGGAGATTATAATTTGCATTGCTGGAATCCTTGCAAGACAGCCAATAATTTGAATATAAACGTCATATATTTTGCTCAAGAGATAAAAATTGTTGTACATTAGTGTACAGTACTGTAGTACATTTTATAAAAAAGTTTTTCAACTGTATTTTTGGGTAGATTTACATAGATTTCTTCATTTATTTTCATCCATTTACATGCACACACCATACTAAAAGAAACGTAATAGAAATAAATGACCTTAGTGCAAAGCTGGAGTGCACATGTACTAATTTGATTACTGTACTAAAATTGTTTTGTCTAGTGCAAATTATACCATGTTTATATTCAAATTAATCAGTATGTTACAAGAATCCCAGCTATGTTAATTATATTTACCCAGGTCATTTCACTGGCTTTTTATAAGAGAGAAGCTTAGTCACCTAAGAACTGATAAATATACACGCGTTAGACCTGGGCCTGTGCCAGCTGTCAAACGTACTACCTCCCCTCCCCCCACGCCCCCTCGCTCGCTCCCACCCTCTCTCTCCCCCATCTGCACGGCGTTGCTGGAATCCTTGTAAAACAGTGAATAATTTTAATATAAACGTCATGTATTTTGCACAAGAGATAAAAATTAATTACCTGTATCACATTACAGTAGTGATTTAACTGTAAAAGTGTATATGTACGTATATAGTATTCCACATACACATAAGTATAAATAAAAAGTTTGTGATGATCGGACAACGTCCATTTCGGTTAACGTCACGTTTCCAAGAACGTATCTAGGACGTTAACCGGCGCATGACTGTATAAGAATTTATGTAAAAAATGCGATATAAAGTTTATTAATGATACATGTCAGAGCATTTGGCAAGTTGGTACAATAAGATAATTTTGTATGATACCAGAAAACTAAAAGTTTCTCTCGTGATGTTTGGACAGCAAAGTTCTTTATGATGTCGTGAAATGATAAACTGCGAAGCTTATCACTTTCAATACACACAATACCTAATGCGAGTCAACAGAACTGATAAAAGAAAATGTAATGTACAATGCTTCGTTCGTGTTAAGGGGATAATTAGCTGGGTCTTCTAGAAGCGGAATTGACCCACGAAACTGAAATTTTAGAACTTCTTATTGATACTTTTCAGTATTACCAAGAAGAAAAACAAGAACACACACACACACACACACACACACACACTACTACTACTACTACTACTACTACTACTACTACTTTGCTGTCACTCGGAATCGAGTATGAACGATCATCTAGTTATTAAGGAAGGTCACCTAGGTTGGTGAGTTTTAAGGTGACTAAATAAGCCGATACGAACCGGCAGAGAGAGAGAGAGAGAGAGAGACACACACACACACACACACACACACACAGAGAGCAAGCATGGGGATTGAAGGTCTTATTGTATGACACATCTGCGTGTGTGTGTGTGTGACTGCGAGTTAAATATCAGCTCTTGAGGAGTACTTGGCAACACTTCTTTCCACCCCCATCTCTCTAATTACCCACACCTTTCTGCTTTCTCACTCCATATTTTAAAATGTTGTGTTATGTGATGTTGAAGGGATACAACTTTGCTCATTTATACTTATACTTATCACAATCTCTCTAAGAACACTTTAGGTTTCATGTTTCAAGACATTTTTGGTTACATGAGACCCACACAGCTTCAATCACACCTGTATCATATAGATTTTTAATTTTTAAATATATTTATTTAACTTAACTTTTAGATAAACTATTCCAGATTATTTTAGCAAAGAAATGGAGTTTCTAACTTAATTAGAACTAAATTTATGGACTCCAGTAGTTTAGACTCAAGGGAAACTCCCCAGCATGCAGAAACATTCTGGGGAAGTGGGATCTGTGTGTGCAAGATGGCTAGTTTAGACACTCGGAAACTTTTTCCAGTAACCGGAAAAGATTCCTGGTATAAGGAATTTTTCCAGGTTTGAGAAAGTCGTCTAGTTAACTGGAAATCTCTCATCCCTGGAAGTGCCAGACACCAATTGTTCCAGCTAATGGGGATATCACTGTGCTTCATACACTATACTGTACTCACCAGCAGATGCTGTCGTCTTGAGATTGTGATGCAAGCAGGCCAAATGGTGATATGATACAAGATGGCCTGCCTTTGTCCTGTACCATTTACTGTAGTAGGTTCTGCTAACTGTCACTCTCCTCTCCTTCTGTGAAGGAGGGATTGTACATGTACTGTACAGGTACATACAGTACACACCCTGTACACACTAGCTTGCAGTAGACATACATTGTCCACTCTGTTATGTACAGTACTGTATGTATAGTACTTTCATACTTACTGAATGTACAGTACTGCACAACACTGATCGTATGTGAAAACAGCAGAGAACGAGGGGAGAGCAAATAAGCTTGTACAGTGGCAGCAGACAATGAGCTGTGAGTGTTATGATGCTAGAGAGCGAGGAGATAGACTGTGAGATACATCAGGCAATCATATGCATCCTATGCAATCACATGACAGAGGTAGCCAATTGTAGCTCACGAGCACTCTTGAGCCTACCCTCTCATGAGTTTGGCACACGATGCAATTACTAGAATGCCTGGAACGAAGAGATTTTTCTCAGAATTTCTTGGAAAGCAAAAATTTTATTTTCCGGGCAATGGAAAGTTCCGGGAATCAAAGATATTGACTAACAGGGATATTACTTGTACGGTAAACCCTCGATAACTCAGCACATATGGGGCTCTGGTCTTGCCGAGCTATTCCAAATTCCGACTTCGAAACATTTCCCCTCTCCTACAAAAATACATCAATGAACAATTATCAACCCATATATGTGTGCATGTAATTACTAAATGTAAAAAATAATTACACTTACCAGCACTGCAGGAGAAGAATGAAGCATCATAGTAAGTGACAAAGATGCATGGTAGGTGACACAGAGGTATGGTAGGTGACACAGAGGCATGGTATGTGATGCAAGTGGCCAGATATGCCTAGATTTTCCCAGATCATTTTACATATCTCGATATTTCCCGAGTTATAATATAATACATTTCGAGACCATATCCGTGACGAGTTATATGAAATCCTGAATTATCAAATGTTGAGTTATCGAGGGTTTACTGTATACCGGTATGTATAATGGTAAGTACAGTACAGTACAGGTATTAGCAAAATCATATTTAAATATGGTTTTATTCTATCGGTATTTCCCTTCATACATGTAAGGCTAGCTTCAGTCAACCTATTTATCACTTATATTCATTCCCAATAAAATTGGAATTAATAGTTACACTAATTTTCTCAAGAATGTATCTTAGAAATTTGAAAACTTTATGAATCCATTTTATTGGTTGTTAAAGATCCTTATACAGTATTACTTTTAGGACATGAAAAAATTCACACTAAATCCTGAGCCAGACATCATTGAAGAAAGTGGCAGCGGGGTCAGTGTTCGTCAACTTGCTGTGTATGATATCCAGGCTGCTCTAGCAGGAGATGGCTTCAACATCGAGGCTACTTATAAGTCTCGTCATATTTACGGCATTTTACCCCCACCTAATTTGCACGTCTCTCGATTTATCACAGGTTTGACATCTAACTGTTTTGATTGTTTGAAGTTAAAGTATTTACATAATTGCACTCAAGCAGATAATATAAAGAAGGTTGGAAGAGAAGATTTTGTTTTTAAGCCTTTAAGGTTTTTCCCCCCTACAGTACAGGGTGGTTAGAAAAAAGAGCAAATATACCTACAACCATATTCTACCATCATTAATTGTAATTTATTCTTACATGATAGTAATGTTAGTGACTGGGGAAAAACTTATAGGACATGGGAGGAATAAGGCTAAAAGTAAGTGGATGACAAATTAAATTTTAAAGAAAATAAATAGATTAAGAAATATGAGAAAATGAAGTGAGGCTTACAAAAAAAATAACAAAGAAATTCAAAGGGAATGCAGACACGCCAAGAAAGATGATCTAGAAAGGAAGTACAAGGAGATTGAAGATGATGGCGGAAGGCAAAATTATAAGGAACTGTACAGAAAGATTAAACAAGTGAACCAGAAAAAGAAATAAATGGAGTGTGACTATTAAAAGCAAAGACAATAAGATCCTGTTTGAGGCAGAAGAGGTAAAAGAGAGATGGGCAGAGTATGTAGAAGAACTATACAGTGATGTGGATAGAGTAGAGGTAAGAAACGAAATGGAAATAAAGATTGAAATCCAATTCTGGAAACAGAAGTTGATGCAGCTGAGCAATATGAAAAATTCTAAAGCTTGTGGGGTTGATCAGTTTCCAGCAGAATTTATAAAACAAATGGGCAGGAATGGGATGAAATGTTTGACTAAAATATTTACTGTACTTCAAATGAGATTTTTTCAGTGTTTAAAAAATATAAATACACCTTTTCACATATCCATTGAGACATTGTTACATAACTGTTTGACAAATTTCATAACCGAATGACAGAACACATATCGAATGACAATCTAATAAACTGTTCGTTCATGCTAACGAAAGTGATTGACATAAGTTATGAAGTTGACAGACGTGAACAATAAACCGACAGTTTACATATATAGTTTGAGAATGTAACAATTGGAGAATGACATACCACCAACAGTTATTTTAGATTGTCATTCGATATGTGTTCTGTCATTCGGTTATGAAATTTGTCAAACAGTTATGTAACAATGTCTCAATGGATATGTGAAAAGGTGTACTGTACAGGTATTTCTATTATTACCTTAAATGCCATGATCCTTAGAGTGCACCCAGTTTAGAAAAATAAGCTTAATAAGTAATGTCAGCAAAGTTTTATTAAACAGAATTTAAAGTTGAATAAAGTTTAAAGTAGAAAGTGAATTATCTGAATAGCAAAATGGATTTAGAAAGGAAAAAAGAACTAGAGAAGTTCTATTTGGTTTGGGAATTTTGAGTGAAGGGCTTTAGAGGTCCAGAGGAATTTGTATATCTGCTTTGTTAATTTTGAAAAAAGGTTTTGATAAGGTAAAGCACAATAAATTACAGGGGGTCCCCGACATACGAATGCCTGCTGATATGAACGAAGTTAAACTTTAAATTTACAGTATTTTATTTACCTGATCACTTTTTTTTTTTACTTTCATTTACAGTGACCCCTCGGTTAACAAACTCAATCCATTCCAGAAGGTCGTTCGTTAACCGAAACCATTGTTTCAATGGGTTTTTGGGTAATTGGTTCCAGCTCACCGAAAATTTCCTAAATTCAACAAAAATGGTAGAAAAGTTCACTTACTTTGAGGTGTGTATGTAGAAGGCTCCTGGATGATGATGATGATGATGTGCATTTGAAGTGGGAGGTGGAGGAGGAGAAGGGAGAAGAGAAGGCATTGGGGTGGAAGAGAAGTCACCCCATGGCACCATTTCACCCATAAAATTTTAGTTCTCTTGGTGTATTTCAAGATTATTTTCTTTAAATCAACACTGCACTGCATTATATATTGTCAATATGTAAAATAAATTTCAAAATGACCAATAATTTGCTTGGAAACACAGAAAAAAAGCGTTTAGTTGAAGAGAGTCTCAAGCAAGATGTTACCTCCAGTGAAAACAGAGAGACTAATGCCTGTTTGCTGTGTTAAGAGGCTGGATGCCGTGCATTAAACTAGTCACTTTACCTTCAATTATGTTCAATAATTGTTAAAATGACTAAAAAATTGAATATTAAACTTTTAAAATTTTTGAATAGTATAAACTTCTTGATATTTACTAAAATAGTAAGGAATTTAAGCCCTAGAGCCGATTAATGTATTGGCGGACTGATACTAAAGCTGGTTGCCCGGTCAGTGCAAGCGAAAACATGTTGAGGTCGGTTCGTAAGAAATTCGTTAACCGAATTTTTGTTAGTTAACCGAATTTTTGTTCGTTAACCGAATTGGAGATCCTTATGGAAGGCAGTTCGTTAACCGAGGCGTTCGTTAAACGAGGGGTCACTGTACTGTGTTTTGTCATTCTATTTCTTCTTTTCTCTTAAATTAAGTGATTTTAGATGTATAAAAGGACTTAGGCTATGATATAGTGGGATTTTAAACATAGTTCTGTAAGTTCGTTATGCACATAGCATGTGTTTCAACTTTCGTACATTTTCAACTTAAGAACGTCCTCAGGAACGGAGCCCGTTCATAACCCGGGGACCCTCTATAATCTTGGAAAAAATAGGCATTAATGAATGAGATATTAGAATTTTAAAGAATCTATACTGGCAACAGGAGGCTACAGTGATAGTAATTGATTCATAGTTAGACTCCCTGTCTAACACAAGGCTGTGTTCTATCTCCAACATTGTATAATGTATATTCAGAATTTGTAATGAGAAAAGGTTTAAGTGATAATGAAGGACAAAATGTTAATGGTAAAGTAATATCAATATATGTGATGCAGATATTCATGCTCTTATCACAAATAGTAAAGATGCATTACAAAAACTCATGAACTAATAAGTGAAACAAGGTGAAAAATATGGTTTAAGCGTTAATGCTGTAAAGACTAAAGTAATGGTTATTTCCAAATTGGAACTAAATCCTAAAATAAGAATTATGGCAGGCAACAGGGAAGTTAAACAAGTGAAAGATTTTGTTTACAGTATTTGGGAAGTAACATTAGCTGTGAAGGTAGATTATGAAAAAAATCAAAACAAGAATAGGTAAAGCAAAAATATAATTTAATAATCTAAAAGACCTAATTGAAAAAGGACATTAACTTCAATTTGAGAAAAAGGGCTGCTGAAAGGCTTTATATGGCAAGGCCCGATGTATGGGTCAGAAGCATGGACACTCGGTAGGTATCAGAAAGAGGTTGCAGACCTTTGAAATGTGGTGTTATAGGTGAATACTAAGAATAAGCTACACTGACAGGAAAACAAATGGAGATGTATACCCTGTACTCAGATTAGCCAAAATTTCAAGAGAAATACCTGATATTTACAGAAAAAAGAATTAGATACTTTGATCATATAATTAGGGATGAGGGGATAATAATAGAAATATTAATGGGCTAAGGTGGGTGTAGGAGGGCCAGGGGAAGGCAGAGACTGGGATGGATAAATGAAACTGGGACCCCAAAAAGATTAAAAACTTTTGAGGATTGGTAAAAACATCCCGAGAATGTTTAGAGTGGAGGACTGGTCGCCAACCCTCAGATATGAGGATGGTACTCTGATTGAATGATTCTTATGACTACCCGGTAATGGATATGTTATACTATTGCACAACAAAGCCCCGAATTTGTAATACCCTAGTTGCCTTGCAGAAACCATTTCTGTATTACCTAGCACCAGCATATCCTTTCCCAAAATTTCATAATGCAAATGTTCTATGATCATTCACCTACACTGCTATTTCTAGGGTGTCCATCCATCTCACTTCTAGTGCATTCATCACCACATACCTCTATCTCCTTTTTGGTTTTCACACTCTCTCTTCCAGCTACATCCACTTTTAACCAATCTCTCCCTTCCCATTCTCTCAGTATGGCCTTACTACTTGAGCAAACCCTAATTTGCTCTCTACCTGACACTTCCTTCGCCTCCACAATTTCTTATTTCTGTACTTAGTTTTCATTCTACCTCTGTATTACAGTACTCTTAAGCACATAATTTTGCTTCTTCCTCATGCATCCAGAATCCATGCTTCATACTCAAGCATTAATGTTGGTTCAACAGTTTCTCTGCACCTTCTTAATTGTGCCACATTTGATACATGTTAGTACAAAATCATTATAGAGCCACCTGTTGAGCTGTAATTCTTTTGACCAAACTGCAGATTGTATCTGAGATTTTTATAGCTTGGTCAGCTAACTTCAGTGTTAGGCCAAGCAGGAGGTTGACATGGGGATGTTGGGCAGGGCAGGAGGTGGGTTATTCAGGGGTGGTGGACAAGGCTTGATCTTTCTTTGTATGTAATAACAATTTTCATTTCTATTTTATTAGGATACGGACAGGAGAGTGGAAGCATTACAGTCAAATTCACCAACACAGGATCCAAGGCCTTGTCTGTTGTGTACCTTGAGGTTCTACCATGGTATCTACGACTTTTCCTCCACACTTCACATTCACATGATCAGATGCAATCATGTATGTTTTTGCTGTACAGTACAGTCACTCCTCGACTTACGACATATTCTACTTACGACAACCCGGACATACGACGGCCATGGTCGTATAAAATATTTTTCACATTACGTATTTTCGAGTCCTGACGTTAGTAATTCCCTTTAAAATGGCTGGCAAACGTAAAAGTTAGTGCTGAGAAGAAAAAGAGACACCCATTTTAGAATTTCTATGTATTATTTGCGCCTTTTCGACTTACAACCTGGTCGTCGGGACGGAACCCCGTCGTAAGTCAAGGAGCGACTGTATATGTTGGTACTGTAGTGTAGCAGATTGTTTTGTGTGTATATAATACTTAACTCATTAATTATTGGAAATTCTCGGGGATATACAATTGTCAGGATTTTGAGGTAATTAATCCTTTTTGTAGAATGAATCATTTCTCCTTTGTTTATCTTTATTGCTATTCATCAAAGTACTGTAGAATTATAATAAAGGAAATTGAAATTTTCCCTGTTACTGTACAAGTTGCTACTTCATGCAGAAACATCTTAAAACTTGTTTTTAAGAGCAATTAATAATTAACAGATATTAAGTTATTTAATTTATTAGCTCAGCTAGTCTAGGACAAAAGTGAACTGCCGTCTGGTCTTCTTTGTGTGTTTGTACTCACCTATAGTAATTTCCAAGTAACCTTGTAAATTTTTGTGAAACCAGGCACAGTTCATTTGAATGGTGTTGAGTGAGACATATGATCCTTAAATTGTTACAGCTTGGCTGTAGTAACATTAAATGACCAACAAGTATATGGGTGAGAACCCCAGGACCCAGACATGTGACTGAAATCTAAAAGTTGATTAAATCCCCTAAAATGGTAACCTTCATTTTCATACTGGACTTTTAAAAGATATTGTCGTACTAGACACAACGCTGGGATCCTTTTAATGGCTGAGGAGAAGAAAATTTTCTGAATTCCCTCCCTCAAGGTCATAAATAACTACCCTGGACAAGGCAGGATCTCCTAGTGTTGTTTTGGCAGGTCACTTGATACTGTCAATCATAAAAGGAGGTTTGATTTTCTATTTAGTCTTTTCCACTGTGTCCCTTTTAAGATTTACAGCATAAATGTAGATCTTCAGTCATCAACTTACAATTTTTAACACCGCAAGTTAAATATCACTTGTATACTGTATATAACACATCATATGCATTTTTTGTATTGAAACTGTTATCCTAGACACTTCTCTCACAACTTGCTAAAGAAAAGAGGCCTAGTTCCTTGTACAGTATGTGCTTTGAATCTAAACTTAGTGTGTATATATATACTGTATATATATACTGTATATATATATATATATATATATATATATATATATATATATATATATATATATATATATATATATATATATATATATATATATATATATATATATATATATACAGTGACCTCGTTTAACGAACACCTCGTTAACGTAATTTCGATTAACGAACTGCCTTCCATAAGGATCTTCAATTCGGTTAACGAAAAAAATTCGGTTAATGAAGTTCATACGAACCGACCTCAACATGTTTTCGCTTGCACTGACCGGGCAACCAGCTTTAGTATCAGTCCGCCAATACATTAATCGGTTCTAGGGCTTAAATTCCTTACTATTTTAGTAAATATCAAGAAGTTTATACTATTCAATAATTTTAAGAGTTTAATATTCAATTTTTTAGTCATTTTAACAATTATTGAACATAATTGAAGGTAAAGTGACTAGTTTAATGCGCGGCATCCAGCCTCTTAAGATAGCAAACAGGAGTTAGTCTCTCTCTGTTTTCACTGGAGGTAACATCTTGCTTGAGACTCTCTTCAACTAAACACTTTTTTTCTGTGTTTCCAAGCAAATTATTGGTCATTTTGAAATATATTTTACATATTGACAATATATAATGCAGTGCAGTGTTCATTTAAAGAAAATAATCTTGAATTACACCAAGAGAGCTAAAATTTTATGGGTGAAATGGCGCCATGGGGTGACTTCTCTTCCACCCCAATGCCTTCTCTTCTTCCTTCTCCTCCACCCCTATTCTAAATCCCATCATCATCATCCAGGAGCCTTCTACATACACACCTCAAAGTAAGTGAACTTTTCCACCATTTTTGTTGAATTTAGGAAATTTTCGGTGAGCTGGAACCAATTACCCAAAAACCCATTGAAACAATGGTTTCGGTTAACGAACTTTTCGGTTAACGAACGACCTTCTGGAACGGATTGAGTTCGTTAACGGAGGGGTCACTGTATATATATTTCATGTAAATCCACAATGAAAACGTGGATAAGATAAATCTTGATAAAATCACACGGGAAAATGGAAACAACGGAGTACCTTAGCTTTCGTCTTTATTCAAGACATCTTCAGAGGCAACTGGATTACATGGACAGAGAGAGGCTTAAATATACAGGGTGACCTAAAAACATGAGGTCAGGTCAAAATGATGACATCCACTAATCCCCACACCAACACACACGTAGAGGAGCTTAAGAGAAGGGTGGTGACGTGACTAGCCAAGTCAGGTCAGAAAAAAGGGACCCACAAAATAACTATCATACATCTAGATCAAAGGTTTTCAAAGCATTTTTAACCTTGGGCCACTGACAAATAAATTTATGTAACATATTATCAGTTTTGAACTGACCATCACTAAGGTTTATTGATTTTAATTCCTTAATCAAACTAGCTTCAACAAGAAGTCTTTCTGTGACACAAGATGATTTGAATACTTCTAAGCTTTTTTCCCAAGCAATGGGGTGATTATTATTCCTAACATGAACGAACAAGGCACTGCATCTACGTGTGTGTTGGTGTGGGGATTAGTGGATGTCATCATTTTGACCTGACCTCATGTTTTTAGGTCACCCTGTATATTTAAGCCTCTCTCTGTCCATGTAATCCAGTTGCCTCTGAAGATGTCTTGAATAAAGACGAAAGCTAAGGTACTCCGTTGTTTCCATTTTCCCCAGTGATTTTATCAAGATATATATATATATATATATATATATATATATATATATATATATATATATATATATATATATATATATATATATATATATATATATATATATATATATATATATATATATATATATATATATATATACATATATATATATATATATATATATATATATATATATATATATATATATATATATATATATATATATATATATATATATATATATATATATATATATATATATATATATATATATATATATATATATATATATATATATATATATATATATATATATATATATATATATATATATATATGGTAATACTGTACAGTACAGTTTTTGTTTCTATACAGCTAAGTATACTGTGGAGGTTAGCACTGTACAGTAACCATGTAAAAGTACTGGGTATCATTTTGATGTACAGCACAAGCATGGGCATGGTCTAAACTAGGTAGACCTATGTGACAAATTTTTTTTTGTACTAGTCCACGACAAATTATATGCCATACAAATTAAAAAAAACAACAACATATAATATGGATTATGCATTTCTTGACAGTATACGTTTCTAAACTGGTGACTGCGCGTGACCGAGAGCAAGGGTGGTTGTACGAAGCAGTAGTGGAAATTCCAGCCAGCTCAACAATAGAACTAAGCCTGGAGTTCACGCGTGCTTTGCTTAAGTGGCTTGAATACCCACCAGATGCAAACCATGGGTTTTACATTCCTGCAGCAACCATTTCAGCAATTCTTCCTAATTCACGAAATGTTTCTGTCAATAATCTTAATGGCTCTACTCTCAAGGAAAAGTAAGTTACATTTACAGTATTAAACAACTTCATAATGTTCTAAGAACAGCAGGGGGAACTCAAGTGGGTGGTATTCTCAACACAATCAAATTTAATTGAAACATTAGTGTCACCTCATTTTTTAGTTAATATGGTCTTTGCAGACTTAAACAGCTTTAAGCAGTTAATTTGATTTGTCACCAGAATTTATAGCATGCAAATGTACACTCTCAACAAAAACTTCTCAAACACCTGGGCACGATGGATGTGAGGAGTAGAATGGGGCTTGTAATTTTTCAGATTGCATATTGCTTATAGCATTTGAGAAGTTTTGGCAAGAGCGTACATATTATTGTCATGGCTACCAGGTTCCTGGTGGTGTACAGGAAGAAGGAAAATCTTCCCTTTTTCATCAGCTTTAGATAAAGGGGACAAGAAAGTGGAATCAGAACTTAAAATATTCATGGCCCTCATGTTTTTACCTCTGTTGCAGATTGTTGGTGCAAGATCGGGCAAGTTTTGTGCGTATTCACACGGAAACCCTCCTTGTGAGCTTACCTACTCCAGACTTCTCTATGCCCTATAATGTTATCTGCCTTGCATGCACTGTGGTTGCATTAGCATTTGGACCAATTCATAATATTACTACTAAAAAGTAAGTATGAAAGTTTGTTGGGACATGTGATATGGGATAAAGGCATATGCTACACTTAGAGCCACAAAGAAGTTGACTTACCAAATTTTATTTGTATTTGCTATTACAGTCTTCATTTTGATTAGCCAATCATTTTAGCTAATTTAGGTGGGTGTATTTGCATAATTGGTAAAATATCGGTTATACACTGTACAGTATTCATCAGTTAATGTACTTTTTACATTTTTTTGTAAATCAAGATCTTTAATAGCTTATGAGTGGTCTGTAAATAAATTGTGAGTACTGTAGTGTGTTAGTAAAAGTCTTTGGATCTCAGGATTCAAATAGATAAAAGTAGCTGGGATCGATTTTTTAAAGAGCATTTATCAAAAAAGCACCAATGTTATGACTGATAATAACCTAAGGGGAATAATTGCACGTAGCCAGGTTATTTATATGATGTGTAAAGTAGATCTGTAGAATAAAGAGCTGTAAAATCATTATCTTTAAATATACAAGTATACATTTAATTGTTGATTTTTATTTGGATTGGCATTAATGATTGTGTTCATATTTTCAGGTTGGTACTGAAGAAAATAGAGCCTAAAGAGTCATTCTTCAGTCGTATAATGAACAGGATAAAAAGTATAGTTAAAAGAGGCCACAAGACAGGAAATGACTCAATTGCAAATAATTCAACACAGGAACCAGTTACTGTTGAGGAGAATCCACTTTATGAAGATAGAGAAGAATTGGAAGATATTGCTGAAGAGGAGGAAGACGAGGATAAACTCAGTTGCAAGTCAATGAATGATTATGAAAATAAGAAAAATAGATGAAAAGGTTAAAATATATTGATATGCATAGTAGATATTGTAACATATCTCTCGGGTTATCCATTACATCACACATTTTTATTTCCATTACTAGTTTACCACAAAAATATTTCCATTGAAATTTTAAAAGACGAATAAAATATTGTTTTAGAAGACATTAAAAGTTCAGTTATTTTCTGAATTGAGTAAGTCTAAAAATTTTGTGTTTGTGGTAACACAGTCCCCCTAAATTAAGGAAGGTACATTCCCAGACCAAAGTTTCTGTTACAGTCAAGGTGGAGGGTACAAAGTCTGCCTACCGTAAGTGGACGGTTGGTCCGCTGTCCAGCCATCGTCCCCCACAAACAAGCACCCTCTCATTTCAACAATCGAGTTCTGATACTTCCATTTCTTAGTAACGACTGGGAAATGATGTCACTGTTTTGTTTAATAAATTCATGAAACAATTTACTCAATTAAATTTTACATTTTATGACATAACAGGTTAGATCACTGTTAGATAATCATGACTTAGTGGAGCGTGTGTGTTTTGGTGGCTGGGGTTTACAGTGGTATCAGAATCCTCCAAGCTGTATTTTCCCTAAGAATGGTAGTCAATATACCAAGCACGAATGTGAGGGATAATATGGTTCGTAAGAAAAGGCTTTATCACCCTCCGTGATAATGGGTCTACCATACGTAACCTTGGCTTGATCGCTACATTGGATGACATGATGGGAGTAAAGCTAACATATGAGTTACCCAATTTATTTAAAAGTTTCACACCTTGAAGTAGGTCACAACACCATTGATTAGGGTTGGATGGAAAAATAGAATAAAATTTGCATGACCATATTTTATTATTAGTTGTACTCTTATAGGTAACCATAAATGTTGCCTACCTAATATTATATACAGTACGTTCAATATCTTTGTAGATATTTGCAGTTAAAAAATAAAGCACTTATTCAAACAATCTATTCTTTAGATTACATAAATTATGCATAACACATATTATTAGCAAAATTATTCAATCAGTAGCCAGTCCAGCTGCCCTGCCTGTCCAGCTCTGTTTGACCCTTGTAGTATTCCCACTGTCTGTTAATGTACACCAGAAGTTGATTGCTGGTCTGTTCCTCTTCCATCTCCCATGTGTTGACCATGAGTGCCCACATGTACTCTATGATGTTCATGTCTGCTCCTTTTCTGGCCATTCTAGGAGCTCTAGGTTGTTCTGCCTCGCAAACCACTGTTGAATGACATGGGCAGTGTGTATAGGGCAATGGTCTTGGACAAATAGATTGGGCCCAGGTGATGGCAGGAAACTCTCCTCAAGCAGCTTAATGTATTTTGCTGCTGTAAACCTTCATTCAATCTGGTACACGTCACCCATGCCGTGTTGTGAAACCCAGCCCCAGACATTGCAGGTCACGTGTCCAGAACAGGCTTTGTCAAATATGTTAGACATGTCATACCTGCAAGCGTAACAGAGTAACAATTAGTTAATGTTTATTGATAGGCAATATACGTATGAAGATCTTGCATAATGGAGAGATATAAAATCTTTGTGATTCCCGTTATTTTATTTGTTGTTCTTTATGGTAAAACTACTATAATTTCTGGTAATTGCAATGATCTGCATGACCTAACATATTGCAAACATCATACCTTGTATTATTGCATCTCCTGCAATGAATTTGGCCATGAGAAGTGCTGTAGAAAACCTTCTCATCTGTAAATATCACTCTTTCCAAAATTCCTCGTCTTTCTCAGCATAGTGCCAAGTGAAAGCCAGTCTCCCTGCTCGGTGTCCCTCTGGCAGGTGCTCTTTCCTTGCGAGCATGCGGTGGTGTAGACCCACCTGATGCAACCTCTGTCTTACAGTTCTTGCAGACACTGCTAACTACAAGTTTTCCCTTACGGACTCTGTGTTTATGAATTGGTACACCTCGGCTGCTGCGATGATGTTGGCATCCTCGGCTGGCGTAGTCCATGGAGCACCTAATTTTGCTGAGAAGAAAATGGGAAGCATATACTGTACAGTATAACTTGGTCATATTAAAAGCATCGACGCTATTATACTATTCTCATGAAATTTGTAGAGTGCACTGCTGACCCAATAATAGCTTACCCAGGTCAGTCACATTTCTGCTTTCCTTCCACCTCCTGACCCACTTGGCTATGGTTGTGGGAGACATGCCAAGCTCATATGGAGAGATCAGAATCATGGAGGCCGATGATTCTTCCTCTTAAAACTAACTTCTTTTCCTTTCTGTTCTTGTCTGACCGGTGGAGCTACTATGGTGGTATCAACAACACCTCGGTTGAAACTTATCCTGCTGTCTGGTGTGCTTAATATTCTGACTACCATTCTGAGGGAAAATACAGCATGGAAGATCCCGATTTTATCTTTACAAACCCCAGCCACCAAGTTATACACTTATATCAAATAATGTAAAACTTGATTGGGGAAATTGTTTCATGAATTTTCTAAACATAACAATGGCATCCTTTCCCAGTCCTTATTGAGAAATGGAAGTATGTACAGTATCAGAGCTTGATTGTTGAACTGCTCGGGTGCTGTTTGTGTGTTGGGGGTGATGGCCGGACAGTGACCAGTGTAGCCACTGCTTGAAATTTGTTGCTAGATCTTGAAAAATATACCCCAACCTTGAAAACTTGAAAGAAAATTTTGAAACACTAAGTAATGTGGCACCCCTGAGCCCATGATTTGCCAATTATGCACCTCAAAACAACATGAATCTTCCTTCTTTCATTTTGAAAGACATGTTAATATATTGCTGCAGTGTAGAAGCAACAAATAAAAATAATTATTTAGTAGGCCACATTAAACTGTTACTACAGTACAACAGGTCTACTTGCTTAGATATTAAGTAAAATATCTGCATTTGTAATGGAGAATATCAAATGCCAATTTTTATTTGAATATTATTTTTGGGAACATTTTATATACCGGTACTGTATTTGGTCCATCTTGTAGAATTGTTTTGATTAGTTTTAAAATGTTTGTAATTGGATATAATTTTGTCATACCTTGACATTTTTTTAGCGACCTGGAAAGATTCAGACGTGAATCTTGTCAACTTTGTCTTTTCATGAGTGGCATGACTGACAGCTACTCACTATTCAATAAGGGTGGGGCAGACTTTGCATCCTCCACCTTGACTGTACAGTATCACAAACTTTGGTTAGAGACTGTACTTAGGAAAAACATATGAATGTTTCTTTGTTAATACACCGTAATTCAAAATACCTATGAAGGTAACTTTGAGTTAGAAGCGCAGTTAAGGCTACAGACCATGGTAAGTGACCACTGAAATCCCAGCATCCTGAATACCCAGTGGGAAAGCCCCCATCAGGGCATAATAGTTCAGCAGGAGGATGCATAATTCAAGAGGATAATGCGTTTGCTGCCACTGCAGCTTTTGGCCCGGCACACTTGCAGTACTAAAGTGTCATTACAGTATGTTTGTTCATAAGCTTCTGATGTCACTGTATAAGGTTCCAGCCTACCACTACTCTTTTGCTCTCAGTCAGTATTATGAAAACAAGTTTATTTTTACTTTATTTATACTAAAACCCTCTTAATATGGACGAATTGGGGGGAAATCCAGCCCGTATGAAGCGAATTTCTGCCCCATCTGCTTCGTTTACAAGCTAGTCGCACTGCTACAGCCCTAGTGTGTGCATCTCTAACTCCTGTGGACTAATTACAATGGCTTACAAAGGCAAGACCACTTCAAAAGGAAGTCAGAAGAGGGCTAGAAAAGCATTTAGCTTGAAGGACAAGCAAGAATTATATATATTATACTGCAGGTTAGTGATTCAAAAGTGCTTATTTATTTTTGCCACGACTTGGGTAGATCTGGACTATTTCGTGTTAATCTGGACTCGATCCAGATTAACAGAAATTAGTCTGGAGTGGTTTGCCAGTCCGGATGAAGCAGAAATCTGGATTTAGAGGGTTTTATTGTAATTGAGTTTGTATGTTTGGCATTTTTCACAGTTTTACAAATACTGTAGTATTTAGATTTTCAAACTTCTTTTATTATGTTCCATACCAGTACAGTAATTGCTTAATATTTTTGTGGTGGAAGTTGACAATTTATTTTGATGATACTGTAATTTTTTGGGTAAATAAGGATTTTTTTTCGTCCTCCAGGCCTAGTTCCTATTTTCCCATTGAAACTAATGATATGCCTCAGGTTGAATCCACAAGTAATCGAATTGGTTAATGTTAAAGGCTCCAAATATGCTGTGTGAAGAACTGTTGGCAGGAAGTGCATTGTCATGTGTACAATACATCTTTTTGCTAAAATATCATACCTTACTACAATTGATGGAGTATTCAACATGCTGGAATCTGTGGTCACCCCAGCTATAAAATTGGATTCATGCCTCAATCATTAATTTTATGTTTTGTAATGGGCAATTGGAGATCCATTCCAAATCACTTATCATTCAGAGGTAATCTTTCTGTGTGTTTTTATATAGCTTTCATTTTTATAAAAGACAATATATGCAGTACACCCTTGATGGAGAATGGTGTAGTAAAATGCTAGCTTGTAATTTATTCAATTTTTTTAGAGAGAACAGGGGGCTCCTATAGAAGGAAAATTTTACCAGTACAGGGGGCCCCCCAAATTTGTGCTCAAAATGGCCGCTAATCGCCAATTTGGCAAATAACATTTGCGGACGGGGGGGGTAAATTTTTGTCTTGTGATAGCTGTTTTGTGTATCACACACAATTGTTTTAAATAAATTCTGGAACTCTTAAAGTGGCAGGGCTGATGTAAACACTTCTTCAGGGCTTTTCTTTATTGTTGAAGCATCTATATACACAGTCCTGAGTTTAGGAGAGAATGTATTGTGAATTCCCTCCAGGGGAAGTGTTTTGAGTACACTTGTATGGGAACACTTGAGTTAGGTGTTCACCCCTTAAATAGTGGTAAGAATCTAGCTCTCCCCTGTGAGCAGGAGGGAGCGTCAAGCGGGTGTTATGATTAGTTAGTTGACCTCGCCTGAATTCTGAGAGTTACAAGCTCAGCGTGTATAACGTGAACAACTACTGAGTCATTGTTGAATAACTTAGTGAATAATTTGGTTTTATACATTTGGGTGAATATTTATATAATGCAAAAGGTGCTGTTTCATACTTGTGTACAAAGAAATGTATATTCCCTTTATGTGTTTGCCCTAAGGACATTATTTCTTTCACCTGTAGTATTGCATATGTGTGTGTGTGTGTGTGACACACACACACACACACACAAAAATACAAAAACACATACAAATAAATAATAAAAGGAAAATACTCTCGCAAATAATCAGAAACAAATTTATTAAAAATGTGAGATTCTACCCTCACGTCCGTTCTCTATTACAGTACTTTATTAGCAGAGCACAGACTTGTGGGTAGACTCACATTTTTAATAAATTTGTTTCTGATTATTTGTGAGAGGATTTTCCAATTATTATTTATTTGCATGTATTTTGTGAGTGTGTCTACACACACACACACACACACACACACACATACATACATACATACATATTTACAATACACGTTGTGAGGGCGCGGGTTCCCACTCTGTATCTACACCACCCTCATCTTACTTAATTCTCTTAGTCTTACTCAGTTCTGTCACCTATTCTTTTGATAGCATGGTCGAGGGTCTATGGGGAAAAAACACATCTTCTCAGGGGTCGCTAACTCACTCATGTTTTGCGGGCGTGGAGTTTAATAAGAATCATTAGTTAAATAGATCAGCAGTCAACGTGACCATGACAACGTAAAGGAAATTACTGTCTCTAAAATGAATGGCTCCTTGTCCCAGCTGCAAAAATGCCTGCAGCTTTAAAACAACCCAGACATAATTGGATACATCCAGGGTGTCATCCGCGAATAACCGAGAACCGCGAAGTAAAATTCCCTGTACAGTAATATATCCGTTA